TTTTTTTTTTAGATGTTTTTGATGTGGTGTGATGTTGATCAGATGTCTGCTTTTGAGAGCTGAAATATTTTCGGAGAAACCTAGAAATCTTGTGAGTGATCTTTTGGGTTTTTGTTTTATTTACTGTTTGATGTTGATTTGGGTCTCGTTGGGAAGTGGGTTTGTTTGGTTATGTATGCTTTATGTCTGTCTCTGAAGCTTCTGATCCTATTTATTGTTGACTGGTATTTACCCGGAAGGAAAGGTGTTTTGATGAAGTCAATCTCTACTTGGTTTTTCTTCACATAATGGTGTGTTCTAGTTATTGCTCTTAACTTGAAACTACTTTTTCTTAGCTGCATTTTAGTTGCTAGAGTTTCTTTCTATGTTGTCATAAATTTACAGTATCTATCTATGGCTCTCCCAGAGTTCTTGGGTGTTTAATCAGTATTTTTATACCCAAAAAGGTTTGGTTTTGGGGGGTTTTTGAGAAATCTATAGCGTATCTACTGTATTATGTCTCTGCTTTAAGGTTGATCAAGACAAATGGTGGGTTTTTAGGACATCCAGTACTGGGTAATTAAGTTGACAGGGGCTGGACTTGAAAATCTCTTGTTTGATTCTGGTTCGATTTGGGGGAAGGGGGTATTATCTTTTTAAGGAGTTTAAGAATTATGTTTACTACTAGTGAATTGGCTTTTTGCTGTGATTGATTTGTGGTGGCATCCTGGGTTTGGACTGTGAAGGAACAATTAATATAACTATAAGTTAGATCGAGAGCTTATTTGGGCTACCAGAAGGGTGGCGATGGATTTCTTCAAAGTTCGAAAGTTCATAAAAGCCCGCAAACCAAACCCAGATAATGATTTGGAGGATAAGCCTGTTCCACAGCCAGAAGAGCCAGGGAATGGGAATGGGAATGGTGATGATTTGGGCAAGTCGGTGAATGTTGACAATGCAACTGAAGCTGAGGATGATGATGATGATTTTATCACAAATGAGGTGAAGAGGAGGCTGAAAGAACTGAGAAGAAACAGTTTTATGGTGTTGATACCCGAAGAATCGTGCCCAGAAGATGAGGAAGAAGAAGAGGAGGGTGAGACTAGCTCAAGCGAGTGGAGGGATGTAGAAGCGGAAGGTCGACAGTTTTGGTCTGGATTTGATGCTGTGTATGACAAATACAGTGAACGGATGCTATTCTTTGATCGACTGAGTGCTCATCGACTGAATGAAGTTGGTAAATGTTGTTCTTATTCTTCTTATTGCTGCTTTGTGAATAACTCATATTCTGAGGCTGAATTTCTTTATGATCTGTGGTTTCTCTTTTCGAAATTACAATGTGGTGTCTGATGTCGTATGGTTTACTGCTATTGACGATGTATAGGTACACGGTTTGTTGTATGTGCTTTTAAATTCTGGTTTGTTTTGCTTTCAATATTTTTTTGAATTGCTTGGGTACTGTCTAAAAAATGCCATCTAATTAGAAGTGTATCCCTTTCAAGTTTTGAAATGTAATTCTAAAAATGCCATCTAATNGTATGTGCTTTTAAATTCTGGTTTGTTTTGCTTTCAATATTTTTTTGAACTGCTTGGGTACTGTCTAAAAAATGCCATCCAATTAGAAGTGTATCCCTTTCAAGTTTTGAAATGTAATTCTAAAAATGCCATCTAATTAGAAGTGTATCCCTTCCAAGTTTTGAAATGTAATTCTATTTGAGAAATGTCCGAGTGATCATTCACTTCATAATATATATAGAAGAATTCTTCATCCTTTTTGGCCATCATTAAATGAGGGTCCTTTGTTGCAACCTTTTCCTTACTGGTGCACAGTTCTACGGTTGTTGAGGCTGAGTTTTCATCTCTTTACCTTGTGCAATTTCCAATATTTTCGTTTGAAGCGTATATACTTGACTGCTGTTGGAATAGCCTTACAGAGTTCCCATAACTTTGTTGCATTTATGGTTCTATTGTGATCCAGGCTCCCATATTCCTTCAACTCCATCACCAAAATCTGCGTCTAAGAAGCTTACATCCACTCTTCGATGTCTGTCTTTGAAAAAAATTGAAGAACCTGAAGATGAAAATGAGTACCTTCAGCAGCCAGCAAATGATCTATGCCATGATCTTGAAACGGCATATGTGGCTCAACTGTGCTTGACTTGGGAAGCCCTTCATTGCCAATACACACAATTGAACCAGAAAATTTCATGCCAACCAGAAAATCTCACCTGTTATAACCACAGTGCTCAACAGTTTCAGCAGTTCCAGGTTTTGTTGCAAAGGTTTATTGAAAATGAACCGTTTGAGCAGGGTCTCAGGGCAGAAGTTTATTCTCGAACAAGAAATTCATTGCCTAAACTGCTCCAGGTTCCAAATGTCAAAGGTAAAGTATTGGCACTTTGCATATTTTGAGTTTGAGTTGAAAACTTTGCTTTTACTGGATCAGTTGTGAACTAACCATTGAATTAACTTATCTAATTATACAGTTTTGTTCTTATGAATATGGAGATACCAAAATCTTTAAGATTGTTTTCGGTTTTTCTTCAAATTAAGTGCTTTAATTTGTGAAATATTTCTAGGTTCGGATAAGAAAGAGACGGAAGAAGAGGAGTCTGATAAGCTGGTACTGGCCCCTGATCTACTCAGCATAATTGAGGGCTCAATCCTGACTTTCCATATTTTCATGAAGATGGATAAGAAAAAATCTGGTGGTGTTCGTTGTCTATTTGGAAGTCAAAACCCGATGGGAACTCCTCTTCAGCAGATTCAATCTTCTCTTGAGAAGGTGAGATTCGATCGTGCCATCTAATATTGTTCTTTAATACAGCCAACTAACACTAGAGCAGCAAAATATGAAGACACTGGAAATTGGAATCAGGAATGAATGAAACCTATTATTTCTTACTCAGATTCAAAAAGGATCAAATAGTTGTTTGCATGTGCTATTGCGTTATGATCTTTGGGCATTTTGGGGTGGGTGTGCTGTAGGCGCATAACACTAAAAAACTTGATTTCTATACTTTGGCGACCAGGAAATAGAAAACCAAAATAATTTGAATTTAATGTTCATAAATATTCTGGCTTACAATTTACTAAGTGTTGAATCATTTTGAATCGCTAATGTAAATTTCTATCAAATTCCCTTATCTGGTGATCATTTGAGAAAGAATCCCTTTGTCTACTAATTGTCATTGGAGGCTACAACTCATATTTTGAGACCCTAATTCCATGGCTTTGGTGTGGCATTTGAATTATTTTTGCAACTTGCATAGGATTGTGCATGAAAATTAATTTTTATGAGTTCAATTATCTGAACCTTTTTTGAGTAGTTGTATCTTAATCAGTTGACTTATAAATTCCATACTGTGAACTTGGCTTCTCATTTTTGCTGGGAGAACATATTTATAAGATTCACGGGGCTGAAATCTAGATGTTAATTTAGATTTATAATAAATAAATTATAAGTTTAGAAAGAAGATGGCATGTTTTACTCCAGGCCAGCAGTGAACGAAGTGTTAAAGTAGAGAGAGTTAGCGTTTCAAACTCAGCCACCCAAGCTAAAAAAAAAAAATGAATGAATGAGAAAGAGAAAGAATGGAGTTGGATGCACCTATCTCCAATTAGTGAGGATGCCGGTGNTGAATGAATAAGAAAGAGAAAGAATGGAGTTGGATGCACCTATCTCCAATTAGTGAGGATGCCGGTGGTTATAGGTATGATAATAGATGGTAGGAGTAGCAAGAGGAGAAACCGAGAGAATTGACTATGCTGGTATAGTCATGAAGAAATGGCATACACAAGAATTTGATTGTTGGAACTTGTGATGACGAAACTATAATATTATTTGAGGGTGCTTCTTTAATTGGTACCTTATATGCAAATTACAATGCAGTCAACCTCATGCTATTTGATTCATGAAAGATTGTACATTTGCTTCTGGTACTAGTGTTTAATAGAATCCTGCTGATAGTGGTAGTATATGTAAGCATTACTTAAAAAGATGCAGAAGAAACATTATTCAACATTTTCCGTTGAATTCCCGAAGGGACAACCTTTTTTTTTTAACTCTTTTACACTGCAGAAAGCAATGAAATTGAAAGATCTGCGAAANACTTAAAAAGATGCAGAAGAAACATTATTCAACATTTTCCGTTGAATTCCCGAAGGGACAACCTTTTTTTTTTTTAACTCTTTTACACTGCAGAAAGCAATGAAATTGAAAGATCTGCGAAAAAGGAGCAAGGGTTGGAAAGAGAAATCATGGCCTGCTACACAAGAGGAATCGGTGCTCTTGCTTGGCCTAATTGATGTCAAAGTCTTGTCGAGGGTTCTGAGAATGGGGAGGATTAGTAAGGAGCAGTTGTTTTGGTGCGAGGAAAAGATGAAGAAACTAGATTTCACTGATGGCATGCTGCAGAGAGACTCCTCTCCCATCCTGTTTCCTTGTTAACAGCTCTCCCAATGAACGACGAAACGGAGTCGAAATATTGGTTTGCAATGTTGAATGGAAACCCCCTATATCCATCTANTCCTCTCCCATCCTGTTTCCTTGTTAACAGCTCTCCCAATGAACGACTAAACGGAGTCGAAATATTGGTTTGCAATGTTGAATGGAAACCCCCTATATCCATCTATCATATTTTTTGATTTCATCTCTAAGTAGCATGAAGTTTCAATGAAGCTTTCCTTTTCAGCCATGATGCAGCCTGGAAGCCATGGAATAACTCTTACATCCTGCTTCTTATAAACCATGGCAGTCTAACAATTATGATCTGGTTGAGGGATGTGGATGAATTAGTGACCATCAGTCTGTCTAAATTATTCATCTTGCAAAATCTTGTTTTTTCTTTTCTTGATGTGATAGGACAGTGGATTAAGTCAATTGATCAGTAGTCATATGTAGGGGAGTTTTGAACCGAAACCCGCCGGTAGGTCACGGGTTAGAACTTCACTGCCTCCTTCCATGTAACAGTTCAAAATAGTGACCCCAAAAAAAAAAAAAAGTATGTAAGTGAGTTGAGAATGGGCAATAGGCTTGGCAATTCTTGAGCAATGTTGGGGATTAGACACGAAGTCAACATGAAATTTGTAGGTTTAAATTTAGTGTTAGTGGGTTTGGGTGGTAATGGTTTGACTTGTCTAACATATAGATTGACTAGAGTGACGTGAATTCAATTAAATACAAATTGTTAAAAATGGTCTAAGTACATAAGTGCGTCTTTGTTCGTTGAGGACAGATCATAAATATTTTCCGTTCTCCTAAAAAAATGGTCTATATACGAANTGAACCGTTAAAAATGGTCCAAGTACATAAGTGCGTCTTTGTTCGTTGAGGACAGATCATAAATATTTTCCGTTCTCCCAAAAAGATGGTCTATATACGAACTTTACTAGACATTAATTTAATAATACACAACCATAAATAGATTGAATAGATTTTAACAAAATAAATGAGGTGCTGTNCAAATTGTTAAAAATGGTCTAAGTACATAAGTGCGTCTTTGTTCGTTGAGGACAGATCATAAATATTTTCCGTTCTCCTAAAAAAATGGTCTATATACGAACTTGACTAGACTAGACATTAATTTGATAATACACAACCATAAATAGATTGAATAGATTTTAACAAAATAAATGAGGTGCTGTTGCTGGGTCCCCACTCCTAACCCAGCAACATGCCCCTTTTGTAGGGGCAATCTCTCATTTACTATATCAATGTGTGCCTTTGTTGACCCTACACTTTTCCATTACTCCTATGAAAAATGCATTAATAAAGAAAAAGGTCACAAAGTTTAGCATCCCCTTTCTTATTCAGAACCAACTCAAATGGTTCTCAAGTAAAATGATTTGATAGAATCAATGATTGCATGTACAAGAATAATCTTGAGTTGATTAGCAGAATGAGTTCCAATATTTGTATTCAGATGGAATCCTATAATAGAACGCAAAGTTTTTCGGACTCTTCTTTCGGATAAGTCTGTTCATATAATTTTTATCTTTCTATTTTCAATTTTCAAGTAAAGAACCCGATCTTTTTGTCTTGTAAAAGACTCATCTGTGTCAAGTATTGCATTAAATTTTCGAGTTTCATCCATCACTGTGTACTTCTTCTTTTATGTAACAGTAATGCCTTAAAAATATTTATAGAGTCAACCAAAATCGTCTGATTTATTCGAATGTTTCATCATGGGATACAAGAATAATTATGTGACAAAACTAAATTGTTATTTTCCATACTATTGCATAAAAACAAAAAAGTGGTGGGGCCAATATTTCATATCAAGGAATACTTTCTATGTATACATACAATAAAAAATTGAAAAAAAATTGGAAGAGATGTGGGGGTTATGGTATTCTTTTAGTGTTCATGTATCTCAAGTAAGTTAATAAGAAAAAATAATTAAAAAAATAAGATTTTTTTTTAAAACAAACAAAAACAAGGGGATATGTATACATTTTAAAATATACTTTATCCAACATCGTACTGCAGTTGCTAAAAAGTTAAAAAGAATCCTAATGCCTAAAAATTTAGAAAATACTAAGTGTAACGATTACACCACGTCAACAGTGTTACTAGTTATAACTGCCAACTAACATGGGAATCCAATGCACTTTCTCTTCAATTATCTTTTTTGGCATATCATCCACCATTAACAAATGAGGGATCTACTTGTATACAATGAGTCTTACTTGAATGCATAGTGAATAATGTGTCAAGAAAAAAATTAAAGATAAGTGTATTGAAGAGGATCTCACTCCTGTAATATATAACATAAGTCAGACAATTTTAGACACGATTCATGAAATTGACACAAATTTAGCGGGTTTTTGTGTAATCCTAACGAGTTCAGACGATTAACGGGTTAACTCAACAAATCTGTGAAATAAACGAATTAGTTTCGTGTTTAACTCATAAATTCGTTTCAACTTGTTTAACCCGTCAACAATGGTACTACAAATTTTTAAAAACACAAGTTATGTCTCTCGGCCTCTGCCTCATCTCACACCTCTCATATCTTCAGACTCATCTAAATTTGATAGTTATTTAATGTTTATTTTTTGTCTTAATTTTTTTGTTCAACCATGATTTATTATTATAGTAAATAGGTCAAACATGTGTAATGTGTGATGAGTTGATGATTTTTCGTGTAGATTCAAAATACTCTAATATATTCTCTTATTTAGCAGGTGATACACATGTTGTATCTAGTAACTCATATAATAAATAATTTGTGTATATATATGATAGTTGGACTCGTTTGTATAAAACGAATGGGGTATGAATGAATGATTTTTTGACACAAACTCGTTCGCCCCGACACAAAACCGTTCCACTCGGTCCTAATATAAACCACCTCGATGTAAAGAAAATGGGTTTACTTTATCCATTTCTAACTTTTTTTATTAAATGATTACACTACGTGATATTGATGACGTGGTATTTACTTATTAGTTAAGACTGACTTTCTCATGTACATTGCTACACGATATTAATTGACCAATGCCCAACATGTTCAATTAGTTAAACTAGCTCATGCTGTAGCATTAGTTTAGGCGGTGGTGGAGGTGTTGCCTTTCCTTTTCTCATAAACCATTCGATTCCGTAAAGCGGGTTACAATGTTAAAACGTGAATCCATAGTCCTATTTATAAAATAATCAATTTGTTGAGGGAAAATAAATATATTTATTTAATTACAAATATTTCAAATTTGATGATTTACACAGAAGTTTCTTTAATAATACCAATTTCATTTTATTTTCATTGAAATGGTTGAAACACTTTGACTTCGCTGAAACCAAACAAACGAGAGTGGCAAAATATCAAAATTCGTATATTTTGATATTTTTCTGAAATGTTTGGTCAATGCTTTTTGAAATATCACATAATTAGGTTTTAATTCTTTTATTTATTTTTAAATCATTTTTAAATTGATCAAAAATATATGCCTCAAAAATATACATTTTTTTTATCATAGCTTATAGTCAAGGTGAACTTGGTATTTATTTATTTTTAATTATGGTCAAGGGTGTCCTAATCAAATTTATATGTATCTCAACTAATTCTCTCTCCGATTTGATCAGAAACAAACAATACACGCGGGGACTAAGAAAAAGTTGCCAATTTTATTATTTTTTTTAGCCAATTTGGTATTTATGAAAGCATTAATCCTTCGATACATCAAAATATATATTTTATATCATAGCTTAAAGTCAAGATGAACTTGGTAATTTTTTTTTGAATTATGGTTAGGGATGTCCGAACTAATTTATGTGCATTTTAACTAATCTTTCCTCAAATCCGATCAAAGACAAGTGATCCACGTCAAAAACTAAGGAGAAGTTGCCATTTTTTTTTTTGCCAATTTGGTATTTATGAAAGCATTAATCCTTCAGTGTTGACATACATCAAAATATATATTTTGTATCATAGCTTAGAGTCAAGATGAACTTGGTAATTTTTTTTTTAATTATGGTTAATGGTATTCGAGTTAATTTATGCACATTTCAACTAATTATTTCTTAAGGCAAACGATCTATGACAAGAACTAAGAAAAAGTTTGCATTTTGTTTTGGCCAAGTTGGTCTCTATGAAAGTATTAATCCTTTGGGGTTATCTAAATTCAAACTTATGATGTAAATGATCTATTTTTTATTGAATTAGAGAAAAATTTAGTCGAGCTATGGATAAATTGATGCGAAACACCCTAGCCGAACCCCCCCCAAAAAGAAAAAAAAAAAAAGGCTTTAATCCTTCTCTAGGTGAAGGTTGAAACCAAGACAAAGCCTTAATCACACGTAAGCCTTTCTCCTACACCCAAAAGTATCCACAATTATCGTCTAATTTACTCATATTACCTATGATAACACATTAATTCCTTGAAGGGCATTAGTGTCATTTGGGCGTAATATTGTTCAATTATTTTTCGTCAGAATAATAAACTTGTCCTGCCTGCCTGCCTACGGACTACACCGTGGAGGGTCTTACAAGCGACATTTGTATATTCAAACCAAGAAAGTCTCTCTCTCTCTCCCCTCTCCTGCGCTGCTATGAATTTTCAGAATTCATCGGAGCTTCCAGCAAACTATGGAGAGTCGAACTTTCTAGGGCTTGTTCTGTGACAGAAAGACACTGTTTGTGGTGAGTCTCAATCATTTGCCGATCATCTCTACTGTAAATGACTTGTAGGGCTTAAAAATGTTGGGGTTTGAGTTTTCCGTCCTTTCTTAGTACTCCTCTGTCTTTCTGTTGTTTCTTATGGTTGGCTGCTTCTTCAGGGATGTATTGGTCTATGACTTTCACTATCTAAATGGGTTTCACTGTTTGTTTTGTACACATGATGTTTATGTTGAAGAGATGCGCACATATATATGAATATGATGTTATGTTTCTTTTACTTATTTGTAAAGAGGTTTTGCTCAATTGTAAGTAATATAGATTACGTGGGACAGTTTCAACTTTCTTTCTTTGGGCGGCAAGGTTGGGTTTCTTAGTCACGGTGCTTAAAGTTCGACAATTTTGGTGGGTACTTGTGGTTTTGAAGTGTAAATTGATCATGAAAACAGACTAGCAGCATAACTTCATACTGATGATCAATAAGAAAAAGAAAAAAACAATTGGGTTTTGTATAATACCAAACGCAAATAAGAAAAATAGTTTAAAAAATTTGTGGTGATTATGGTTTGGTGATGGACTTTGTATGACCCATAAAGGACAGAAGACTCAGTTATATGGATGGAATTGGATTACTAGGGTATCAACATGCCGTTCCCAGCTGTCATTGGTAAGGATAGATATGTTAGGTCCGCTGTAGAATGGTAATTTCTTAGTTGCGTCATATGACATGGTCATGGCAAAAATGGCAGTGAAGTAGGACATCGCCAACAAAAATTTACTTGCTGTTTGTTACATATATTCTATTTGGTTTAAAATTCTGACACTTCGTAGATTGTCAAAAATGGTGTACTCATATTTTCATTAATTTATTCATGTTTTTTTCATTATNTGTTTCTTAGAAACGGTGCTTAAAGTTCGACAATTTTGGTGGGTACTTGTGGTTTTGAAGTGTAAATTGATCATGAAAACAGACTAGCAGTATAACTTCATACTGATGATCAATAAGAAAAAGAAAAAAACAATTGGGTTTTGTATAATACCAAACGCATATAAGAAAAATAGTTTAAAAAATTTGTGGTGATTATGGTTTGGTGATGGACTTTGTATGACCCATAAAGGACAGAAGACTCAGTTATATGGATGGAATTGGATTACTAGGGTATCAACATGCCGTTCCCAGCTGTCATTGGTAAGGATAGATATGTTAGGTCCGCTGTAGAATGGTAATTTCTTAGTTGCGTCATATGACATGGTCATGGCAAAAATGGTAGTGAAGTAGGACATTGCCAACAAAAATTTACTTGCTGTTTGTTACATATATTCTATTTGGTTTAAAATTCTGACACTTTGTAGATTGTCAGAAATGGTGTACTCGTATTTTCATTAATTTATTCATGTTTTTTTCATTATCTACTAAGCTATCGTGTAATTTAGGCTAAATTCTCAATACTACATGTGGAACAATTCTGGTGCCATGTTTATTCCTGCTTTCCTTACCTATTCGAGGCTTGTTTCCTTTTTCTGATCAACTGTGCCAGTGTCCTTAAATTGATGAAGGGGTATTAAAAGAGTTATTCAATTCTATTGCAAACGGAATGTAAAGATTGCATGAAGAGAGAGCTGATCATCATTGCTTCAAGTAGTATGGCAACTGAAAGTCCTGTGAGCATTGTGGAGAGCAGTGGAGCTGGAAAGTGGGTCTCTTCTAAGGATGCTGTGACATTTCGATCACCACTAAGTAATATGGCTGCAGATGAGTTGGGATTGCTTCTCAAGGGGAATAAAATTCATAAAAATCAGAGAAACCTAGGTCCCGATCGAAGTGGTAGTGCACCTCCAAGTATAGAAGGCTCTTTTGCAGCTTTTGGGAACCTTATGGCTCAACATAGTTTAAATCTGAATTCTAGTGTCTCGAGTTTAAGAAGTGTTATTGAAAATTGTCAGTCTGAGGAACAACTACGTGCTGACCCATCATACTTTGCATACTATTCCTCTAATGTCAACTTGAACCCAAGGCTGCCTCCACCTATTATCTCTAGGGAGAATCGGCACCTAGGACGTCATGTCGGTAGTGTTGTTGGCAATAGCTGGAGATTAAACAACTCTTTTGATGACAGTGACAATGAATTCTTGAACTTCTCTAGAGCTTCCCTTTCTACACATGATGAGGAGCCTGAGGAAGATAGGTCACCCCAACAAGCTTCAGAGGACTGGGCAGACAGGAGTTGTGCATTCCTGCATGGGCAGAATGCATCATCCTTATCAGGTCATCACAAAAGTTTGGTTGATCTAATCCAGGTAAAATGCATGTTCTCACTTACGGTATCTGGTATTGAATTTAATATGTTACTATGTGTAATCTATTGTCTTCCTTTCAGATATCTGTAAATCTGTAATCCTTAGGAGTATCTGCCATGTTTCTGTAACTGGGTAGCTATATATCTCATTGCCACCAGACGTCAGAGTCTAGTGATTAGTGGGCCATCTGCCTTATATAATTATTTAATCATGGTTTGAGTTTTAACTATTGTCATATTTCTTCTTGAAATTTGGGGGAATAGTTTTTGAAAATTTTGTTAATATCTACTACATTTGTTCTCTATATCACAAAACAATTTCCATTTAGTCTATAGTGTGGAAATTCCAGATTGCAAAGTACGACATCCTGCGGAATCTAGTTTAGGACCTTTGGGCATGCAGCCATACTGGTTGGTTGTTATTGGTGTTAGTGTCATTTAATTAATTAGTTGAGTGTCAAGTGGAACAAGGACTACCCTTGTTTGTGTTAGCCAATGCTCATGCTTTGATACATTTTTTTTTTGTTTTTGTGAATTCATAGGAGGACTTCCCTCGCACTCCCTCTCCTGTGTATAATCAATCTCATGCCTCAAGCCATGCTACGGCAGAGGAACCAGTTGATTGTAATGTTGAAGCCATTTCATTGGATAATCTTTCTATCAGTATCTCAAATCTACCTGAATCAAAATCTGGTTCTGTTGCCGTTTTCATGGAGACTGCAAATGCTCGTGGGTTAGCAGCTGATAATGATCCGCCATTTGCCTCTCTTTCTAAAAAATCAAATCCTGATACAGTGAGGAGTTCAACTGCTCCTCACCAGGTCGAAGTATCAAATAAATATGCTGGTTTAGGGGATGATGTCTCAGTGAGTGGATCCACCAGGTCAGATGCTTCGAGAAGCCTTCTTATTGTGGAGGATAACAGGAAAAAACAGGAGCAAGAGTTTTTAGAGAAGAATTTGCAAGTGGCCCAGAATCCTTATTCACAGCAAAGCACTGCTCATCAAGTTCACAGATTTCAGGCTGAAGTGGTTGCTCAAGGAGTAAATCAGACACACAATGGCTTGGATAAAGTTCCCCATGGTCAGCCTAAGTTCTCCTCGGTTGAGGTACAATCACTACTGCAACCTCCTGGACTCGTCCCTCCTTTATATGCAACAGCAGCAGCCTATATGACACCGGGAAATCCATTTTACCCTACGCCAAATCAATCTGGCTTGTATTCTCCTCAATATAATGTGGGCGGATATGCTTTGAGTTCCACATTTTTTCCCCCATTTGTTGCTGGATATCCATCTCATACTGCTATACCTCTGCATTTTGATGCCACATCTGGACAAAGCTTTAATGGCCGAACTGCTGGAGTGTCAACAGGGGAAAGCATTCCACACACAGCTGATTTTCCACAGCTAAACAAGTTCTATGGGCAGCATGGATTAGTGGTGCAACCTTCTTTTCTGGATCCTCTTCACATGCAATACTTTCACCATCCTCTTGAGGATGCATATAGTGCTCCAGGGCAGTATGGTCGTTTGGCATCAACGGGTGTGATTGGGGACCAGACTAATTCTTTTGTTTCACAAAAAGAATCAACTGTTGCTGCTTATATGGGCAATCAGACATTTCATCCTCCACCCAATGGAAGTCAGAGCATTCCAAGTCCTAGGAAAGGAGGGATTAGTAATTATTACGGAAACCACCCAGGGGTGGGCATCATGACACGCTTTCCAGCTTCACCTCTTGGTAGCCCAGTACTGCCAGGATCTCCTGTGGGAGGGTCCAATCATTCAGGAAGGAGAAATGAAATGAGATTTCCTCATGGAGTATATTCTGAATGGCCAGGACCAAGAGGCTCTGATAGCTATAATGACCCTAAGAAGCATTCCTTTCTGGAAGAACTTAAATCCAGCAATGCTCGAAAGATCGACTTATCTGACATTGCAGGGCGGATTGTCGAATTCAGGTTGTGTGCTGTAGAGAGCCTTATTTACTTTGTTTATTTTATCTATGCAATGTGTTTTCTTTATCATCCCCACAAAGAAGAATGATTTTTCTATTCACCTTAAATTTCAGCATTGATCAACATGGGAGCCGGTTTATTCAGCAGAAGTTGGAAAACTGTAGTGTTGAAGACAAGGCCTCAGTTTTCAAAGAAGTTCTACCACATGCTTCAAAATTAATGACAGATGTTTTTGGGAATTATGTTATACAAAAGGTATATTAGCACAATTTCTAAAAGGATAAATAAGGTGTTTTTGTATTTTTCATGCATTATTTTTTGGGACTCCTGAGTTTCTCCAAGTAGGATGACATGTGTTCTCCAACTCTGGATTTTTGTTACAGTTTTTTGAACATGGGAGTCATGTGCAAAGGAAGGAACTTGCAAATCAACTCTCAGGACAGATGTTACCTTTAAGTTTACAAATGTATGGCTGTCGTGTGATTCAGAAGGTATGTTTAGATGGATGCCATCTTATGAACCCAAGTGGATTGTTGATTTCCTTTCAGTTTTAAAACTCATCTTTTATTTGTATATTCTGAGAAGCTTTTGTAAATTGTAAATTATTTTGCTTGAATATATGTGCATGCCTAATATAAACTGCTACATCACTAGTATTTAGATAATACTTCGATAATAGGGTGTGTCTAGGTTGTGGTATTTGCCCCCAAATAAAAGAAGTTGAGATATCAATTTTATCCATGCAACTTATTTTTCTATGAGACATGCATGCAAGAAGAATATTGGTTACTGCTTGTTGCAGACCAAAATTATAAACCAGCCCTCTAATATATAGTGGCTGGATGTCTTTTCATTTTTCATTTTGGTAAAGTACTCATCATAGAAATTGATTTCTTATAAATGGGTATATTGCGACTATGTGAGGATTGTTAATATGTTAATATTTTTCTTTTGTACCGGGCATACCTTATTGTTCTTGTTAATTGAGTATTAGGTACAGGTACAAGTGGTAATGCATAATCTTGCACTCTATCATGCAAAACATTGATTACTTTGTCCTATTTTTTTAACACTGGTGAGTGCTCATTCTAGGCCCTTGAGGTCATAGATGTTGACCAGAAAACCATACTCGTGCATGAGCTCGATGGCCATATCATGAGATGTGTACGAGATCAAAACGGAAATCATGTAATTCAGAAATGTATCGAATGTGTACCTACAGATAAAATTGGATTTATTATTTCTGCTTTTCGAGGCCAAGTTGCTACACTTTCTACTCATCCCTATGGCTGCCGTGTTATTCAGGTAAATATTAGAGTTTTTTGGTTGGGTAGGCATCTTGGATATTATATCTTTATGTTCTATACAAATTATTCTTTTTGCTTGATTTCTCGTAGAGAGTCCTAGAACATTGTTCAGATGAATCACAAACTCAATGCATTGTGGATGAAATATTGGAATCTGCTTATGTTCTCGCTCAAGACCAGTACGGCAATTATGTCACCCAGGTCTGTTGTAATTTCTCATTTATTACAGATGATGTCAGATCTTTCCCTTTCCCTTCAAGTTTTGAGAATTCATTTGTATCTTTTAAATCATTGTGCATTGGCTCCTCAATTTCATATTTTCAAGTTTATAGTTGTCCACAATGTTTAATCCCAACTAATGGAATGTCAACACCTTTCGCCCCGCTTGGAACAAACTTGGTTCGTCTGAATAGTTTTGATTATTACACTATTTATAGCGGAAAGGATTAATGCTAATTATGGTTTTGAGCTGCTGCATAGGATTTCTTGACCCTATCTTTCCTCTGTTACTTTATTAGCACTTTTTTGGTGCTTATGGATTTAAATTATTAAGAGTCTTAATTTGAAATGGTTGACATATGCCACTGGGTTTATGGCAACCAACAAAACCCTACCATGTGATCTATTATTTTTGAGCCTAATCCTGTCAATTGTCTGGGTAGGCTCTAAAACAAGATCTGTCCCCTCCTCTATCCTGTTTGGCTGCGTAATCGACACTTAAGAACATAAGAAAACCGCATGAACAATCCCGCCCATCAAGTTCTTCCCTTCCCCTGTGTTGGTAGCAAGACTCGCCAATTTCTCGATGGTTTTTTGTCAAATCTATGAGTTGAAATTGTAGAAGTGGTATTAGGGTTTGTAAGAAAGGAGAAGAGAAGAGGAGAAAATGAGAAAGGGAATAATCTGTTGTGTGTAGGTTTAGGTTGCCCTATACTCTCTTATTTATAATTATGAAATATTAAAGTAATTACAAAATTACCCTACATTAATTCACTTATGTCTAATATATAGAATAAGAACTTTAACACTCTCACTCAAGCTGGAATATAAATATCGAAAATGTCCAGCTCAGAACATAAACTACTAAAGCAAACCTTGTCACAGTGCATTTCATAGGGAAAAACATACCAAGTCCCATATCACAGAGTAAAGAAAAGACCCATAACATGTCATTGCACAATTCCCAGCTAGGCTTGTCAATAGATCGGATTTGAATCCGAATCTGAATTCAATTAGCCGAATATAGATTGATATTTTTTACCGATAATTCAAACTCAAATCCAAATCCGATTTTACGGATTTGGATTTGAATATACCTATATCTGATCCGATTCGAATTATTTATATATTTTTATTTAAATATTAAACAAATTAAGTGATTATTTTAAAAAATTTAGGTATAATTTGTTAAAAATTAGTCAACTTATGCTGATCGAATTTCAAATTGTTAACAGATTCGGATATGGACAATAAAAATAAAATCCGCCAGATTATTGGATTCGGATCGGACTTTTAAATTTGGATTTGGATAAGTCAAAATCCGACCTAAAACTGATCCGTTGGCAAGCCTATACCCATTCTTTGCACTAGAATATGCCTCAGTTCTATCCTTTAAAAAAAAAGTCCACTCTTATGTAAGCTTCGAAGACATTTGGACAACTCCTAGAAAAAAGGAGGGAGGACGAACACGAAAGTAAAAGAATTTGGGGAGAACCACATTTGCTTTTTGCACCAAGTAACAAGATTATCACCAACAAATGTGTAATACCCACACGTAGACCGCCTATGACGATGATTACCTGCCCAATCATCGTTAGAAAAATCAACAATAGTTATGGATGATGAACAATATAACAAACTCTTTCGCAGAGGCCCTTTCAAATATCGAAGTATACGACAGAAAATCTCCCAATGAGGCTTACAAGGGACAAAAATATATTGACTAACTACACCATCAACACATTAATATTAGGGCGTATAACTATAAGATAAATTAGTTTACCAACCAATCACCGATATCACCCGATATCATAAAAGACTTCACCACTCTCAGGACCTAACTTAATTGTCGGATTCATAGGCGTATTAATCGGACATGCACCAAGAGTACCTGTCTCAGTAAGTTTAGTACATATTTTCATTGGCATAAATTGATACTCTTGTTTAATCGGGCAACCTCAATCTTTAGGAAGTACCGAAGAAGACTTAAATCTTTGGTATAAAACTGTTTCCCCAAATAGGCCTTGAAGTGAACAATACCATTTGAGTTATTCCCTCTAATGATAATGTCATCGACATACACAATAATAATAATACATGTAGAAGACCGATGAGTGCAAACTGAATGATCTGAGGTAGAGCGTTGAAAATCAAACTAAAGTACCAAGGTATTGAACTTATCAAACTAAGCACGTGGTGATTGTTTCATGTCATATAGTACTTTCTTCAAATGACACACTAATTATTCCTTTTCAGAAACAACATATTCGGGAGGTTGTACCATATATACCTCCTCCTATAAGTCTCCATGTAAAAGGCATTCTTGATGTTCAGTTGATACAAAAGTCAATCAAAACTTATTGCAACAAAAATAAGAACTCGATCAGAGTTAAGATGGTCAACAGGAGAGAAAGTCTCACAATAATCTATACTATATATCTGAGTGTAACCTTTGTCAACCAAATGAGCCTTTAAACGCCCAACTGAACCATTAAGAATTTAAAATGATACTTCACTGTGCAGACTCAATGACAGTTTAGCAAAAGGAAAAGTAGTAAGGTCTTGTGTCTTATTCTCATGAAGGGTTTTCATTTTCTCATCCATAGCCAGTTCCTAACTCGAAGATGTCAATGCTTATTTCAAAGAACTAGGAACAAATACTAAAGACAAAGTCAATGTAAAACAATGAAAGGACGATGAAAGTTGATGCAAAAAAAATAAAATTAAAAATGGGATGCTTTGTACAGTTATTGGTATTTTTTTCTCAATGCAATTGACAAATTAGAAGATGATGAACTAGATGACGACTCAGGGGGTAGGACCTCAGTAGAATTAGTTGATGATTGTGGAGCAAGAGCATATGGAACAATTTGTCTGTCCTTGGAACAATGATAAATCTACGAGAGGAGTAGGACTCGGGGAGGAAGAAGATACACAATCTGGTACAATAGACAACAAGAGCTCCCCCTGATTGGGAAAGACTAACCTGACACAGAAAAGAAGGATAATGACTTAGAAAAGGTAACATCAACATTGACATAGTATCGATGAGAAATAAGGTCATAACAGCGATAACCTTTCTGCGTATTAGAATATCCCCCAAAAAAAAAACACACTTAACCAAGTCAGGTGGAAGTTTATTCCTACCTAAACCAAGAAGATAAACAAATGCAATGCATTCAAAGACATGAGGAGTGAGACCAATTGGCGGTCAGAAAAGAAGATTTATTATCCAAACTAGGGGAAGACATGCGATGAATAAGATAAACTGAAGGAAGGACAACATCAACTCAATATGGTTTTGGCACATGCATGTTAAACATCAAGGTGTGAGCAACATCCAATAAATGATGATGTTTATGTTTGGCAATGCCATTTTGCTGAGAGGCATGAGGTTAAATAGTGTGATGGATAATGCCACAGTTAACACAATTTTTTTATAAATGATTGAGTATTGTCAGACCGAAGAACTTTAATACAACATTAAATTGAGTAAGAATTTTATTATAAAAGGTGGTAAAGACCTTAGGTAATTCATAATGGTCTTTCATAAGAAATAACCAAGTCATATGAGAGAAATTATCAACAAATATTACAAAATTGAAACCTATAAATACTTTTGACTCTTCTAGGACCCCTAATTGACAAGTCTCATTCTAGCACAGGTGAAGAACTCAAATTAGGAATAATTTGCCATAACTTGTGTAATGAAGGATGATCCAGTCAGAAGTGTCCCTGAAGAGGAGACACGGTAGCACTCAAGGCAGGAATAGAACCACCAAGGTCTACGTAGTAAAGACCATTTTTCTCATGCCCAAACCAATCACCTTTTTCATCTTGAAGTTTTGAAAAACACAAGAGGATACAAACAACAAGTTAAAAGGAAAATTAGGAACAAACAGACAAGAGTTTAGTGGCATAAATGGAGTAGGATGAAGATGACGAAGAAGACTGAGTAACCATACATACAAATTTACCTTCATTAGCAAGAATAGTAGTAGGAATAGATAAATGTGGAAAAAATGAAGATAACTATTGAATGAGCTTACGAAGTTGAGAAGAAATATTATCATGAGAATCAGTAGTAGATGTAAGTGAACCATTAGTAGAAGTCTGATGTACTAGAGAACCTAAGCTTTCATTAGAAGTCTGATTAGCATATATTGGTCTCCCATACTAAGCCAAACAACAATTCTCAGTATATCTCGTGCCACCATAATATGGCTTCAATAAATATGATTGTGAATTATGTATTTACAAATATGTTGTTCATAGAGTATTGATCATGTAGCACTGTTCATCAATAAAAAAGAAAAAACTAGAATCAATGCTTTGATACCAAGTTGAAATTGTAGAAAAGGTATTAGGGGTTGTAAGAAAGGAGAGGAGAAGAGAAGAGAAGAGAAAAGAAGAAATGAGAAAAAAGAAAGAAAGGGAATAATCTGTTGTGTGTAGGTTTAGGTTGTCCTACACTCTCTTATTTATAACTGTATAATATTAAAGTAATTACCATATTACCTTAACACTAATTAACTTACGCCTAATATATAAGATAATAACTCTAACACGATGTAACCAAATATCGAACAGACCATGCGTCAGCAGAGTCCAGATTTTATGCTAATGCTTAACGGGTTAGCTCAATACCTTTAAGAGGTGTTGGATGCGAATGAGAGATGCTATAAAAGAGATCATCATATAGGGTTGGAGCAGTTGCGGCCATTGTGGAGGTTGACTATGCAAGAGATATAGGGCAGATCATGCATCAACAAAACTTTCACTCTCTCTCTTGCAGTCTTTCTGTCTGTCTTCTTCCTCCTTAAGTGTTCTGCATTTTTCTTTTTAACAAGAGCTGCGATCAGAGCTTATGAAGCTTTATTTCACTCATATAAACACTCCTATCACAAATCCAACCATGCCCTACATAAAAAATTAAACCCTAGCAATCCAAAAGGCCCAAGAAACCAGAAAGCACTGAGCACATCATTAGAGCATCCACCAATAACTCTTTTTCCCTTCCCTTCTTAAATATCCAGAACCCCTTCCCCCTTTTTAACATATCAAAATCTAAAAGCCCATACCTTCACCCCTATTTTACCCACAAAAATCTACAAAACATCGATAAAATGGCCTATTCTTCGCTGCTAAAAGTTAAATTTGTTTTATTGTCTTTGGAAGAGTGTTTGGCTACACTTTTCCTTCATGTCCGACTTCATATTGGATCCAACGACTTTTAGGTTCCCCTCTATGTAAGGCAATCCTCCTCCTTTATTGGGTCTTGTTATTCACTTATGCACATGTTCTTTTGCATGGATAAATGCACTAAAAATTGAATTGGTGGGGAGGCATTCCTTTTGTATGACTTTGAGATAGCTTTTCTTCGTATCCTTGATCCCCGATCCCTTTCCTTCTTTAACTTTATGTATGTGTTATTGTTTCCACTTTTAATGTCAAATCCTGTGTTCCGACTTACTGTAATACTTGCAGCATGTTTTGGAGAGGGGGAAATCTCATGAAAGAAGCAAAGTTATCAGCAAGTTGAGTGGGAGAATTGTACAAATGAGTCAGCATAAGTTTGCGTCAAATGTAGTCGAGAAGTGTTTGGAATATGGTGATGTTGCTGAACGGGAACTCCTGATTGAGGAGATTCTTGGACAATCTGAAGCAAATGACAGTTTATTGGTAAGGGACTATAAGACTTTTACTGCTCCAAGTATACATCGTCTTTTGCAGTACTTGGAGACTAGGTATTGTGTCTAAAGAAATAGTTTGACTTCAGTTTTTAAAGTGGGGTTTATTTTCCCTTGCCTTTTCTTTTTAGTCTATTGAATACAGCATTACAGTTCACCCAAACCATTATGCTAAATCCTGGCCCTACCTCTAGCTTGATGTTGGTCAGATGCTATGTGTTATGTCTTTTACCTTATGCTCTCTTTTGACTGAAAAAGCAATACTTGGAATTGATAGTATCCAGGGGTAACTGGATTGGCATTTCAAATATGGTTATCCCTGTCAACACTTTTTTTTTTTTTGGGTCATCCCTCGTCAACACTACTCACCTCATTTGTAGCATTTGTTATGGACAAGCATTGGCATTTCTGCACTCTTGTCATGAATATTGAGTGAGTTCAAGTAATTGCATATAGTTCTCATCATTTCGAAAAATTCTTGATGTTGGATGAAATATAATTGATTTGATTTTTGTATTGGTCAAACTGATTGCGTCTTTTGTTTGACTTTCTCATTCTAGACAATGATGAAGGACCAGTTTGCAAATTATGTGGTCCAGAAGATTCTTGAAATGAGCAATGACAAACAACGGGAAACTTTGCTCAACCAAATCAGGGCTCATCTTAATGCCTTGAAAAAATACACCTACGGAAAACACATAGTTGCTCGATTTGAACAGTTATCTGGTGAAGGTGCGTGGATTTTCTATTTCTGTGACTTACTTCCACGATCCATCATGTTGTCTTTTGTGGTGTGGAAGATTATCTAGCTTTACATCATTTGGATAGCGTCTCCATATTTATGCTTTTTGAAGCCCAATACATGTTAGAGAAAATGAGGAATCAAAAAATGCACCAATATATTTTTGTTCCCTTCTAAAACTAGTAGGGATACAGACATACATATACATTTTCATAAATATATACTTTTGCAATAAAGTGTTTTTGGCTGGGGTTAGTAGTTGTTTCATAGTAAAAGCAGACAATTATAGCCTAACAAGACTTCTGTATTTTCTTCATTGCTTTTCTTTCATCAGCACGTTAATGTCGTTATTAACACCACTGGCACCCCTATCATATCTACAACTCTTGTGACCATTAACTTTGCAATAGAACATGAACATCATCTTCACGCCGCCTTCCATCTCCCTGGTTGATGGCCTCTCTAGCACCACCTCTTCCCCAGCTACTTCTGGCACTAGCACCAGACTTATCGGATTGTATGCCACTATCCATTACCACTGAAGCTCTACCCCACACCATTATCACCACTGGGACACCTTAATCACCATTACTACCACTAGAGTTGCCAACACGAGTAATGCCACACACACCTACTTACCAATTTTTTTTATCGTTTGATTTTTTTTATTTTTTGGTAGGGTTATGGTTTCTGTATATGGATTTATTGAACATGCCGTTAGTTTTATCTTTGCATCTGAAAAGAGTCGATATTTAACAAGAAAAAACAGAAACTAATATGGCAAATATCTTGCATTTTGAAGTTTCTTCATGAGGCATGACCAAACATTGCCGTGTATTTACTTAATGCTATTGTATGAAGATGCCATCTACCTATACCATGTGGAACATAGATTTTGACGTTTGACAACTATCCACATGATGTGGACCGAATATTTTATTTGATTAGTTTTTTCTGGTATCATTATATACTTTTCTTGGAAGCCACTTGGCAGGGTTCAACTTCCCTTCCCTGCCTGCTCTCCAGGGGTAGTGCTTGATACCCAATTGGGCCAACACCAAATGCTTGGTCGAGGAGATTATATGGCTTAATTGTGGTTATCTGGATTTTAAATTCACTAATCCTCAAGACTGAGGCCGTTATAAAAAGTAAACCCAGTTGCTCGGCTGAGCCCATAAAATTTAGGGGTTGGGCCAGATTTTTTGGCTCATGTGCAGGGCTTGGGCAAAGTATTTGCCTGATATTGTTCCGGGCCTGGCTGGAAGTCGTGTCCCACTTCCAAGATGGAACAGTACCTTATGTATAGCAGATTATATTATTATGTCATTTGATATTATTTTGGTTTCAAAAGTATAAACATTTAAAAATAAAAAAGTTGTCGATGCAGGGCATGGGACTAGAGATCCTGGCCCGAGCCGCCTATCTGAACCTGGGCTTTATTTTTAAAGGCTGTCCCGACCCTGACCATGGCCACTCCTAGTGGCCAACATCTCAAATCATTGCACGAAAGTTGGGTATCCATCATTCTAAAGCCAGAACTATAAATTTTCAGATCAAGAAGCTGAGACAAATATATTTGATGGGCTCATTTTGTATGAAGGTTTGTTTCTTGAGATCTATCTATTAGGAAGACAGGAGATCAGTTGACTTGTTGTATCTGCATGAAGTTTGTTGGTGCACAAAATCATAGAACTATTAATTTGACATGCCCATCGACTTGGTATCAAATGAATTACTTTGCTTCGGCTTATCTGATACTATCTTGTTACTTAAACGATTTCAAGAGGTAGAGTTTGAAGTGTCAATCTTTGCCGTGCAGAAATTGAAGTCTCAGAACCTTGATCTGTTTACAAATGGATTATGTTTCAAATCGTGCTTTTGTTCCGGGTGATGGTAGAATTGTTGCAGCAAGAAGTCTCTCTGCAATTGGAAGAATACGAGTGGGGCAATTGCTTACCAATCTGTCCTAAGTTATGCACACCATGGTGACATTGTAAAGATTAGTAGATGTTTGTATTGTGTACTTGCAAACTGTATCTATGTATTTTGCTGTCTAGATATAATTTATGGTGACTATCTACAAGAAATCCACATTGGCTTGCTTAATTAGTTTGTAAATATTGCTTGCTCATTTAGTTTGTAATAGTTGTGGTTTTGGTTTCTATTGACAAGGTGCTTTGGTCAAACTCTTCTTTCTTTTGGACGGTATTGTGAGAGTAGAAAAAGTATAACAATGTGTTGTGTCTCTTTTGTTCCTTCTCTATTGTCTTTTCTTTTGGTTTTGGTGGGTTTTTTTTTGTGTATGGTTTGTTTGGATCGGAGAGAAGATTAGTTGAGATACGTATAAACTAATATGGACATTCCTTATCGTAGTACCAAAAAATAGTAAAAGATGTAACCTTTTCGATGTTATAGATAATAAAAACTAGTATTTGCTTGGGACTGTCATGCCGGGGAATTTTTTAAGAATGAGAAATAGCGATCATCCGTAGCTTGGTACATTAACATTTTAACATTCGTGGTGGCATGAGATATATGTGACTATGTTTATTAATCAATTAAATTGTTATTTTTGATTGGATTGTAGTGATATAAAGTAAAAAAAAATAAAAATTGAGGGATTAAAGTGATAAAATTAAAAGAGTGAGGATTAAGGTGACTAAAACATGTAGTTGAGGGATTATTATCATATTCCGAGATGTCTAAAGCTTTGATATCATATCAAATTAGTATGTGCCACCTATCGCATAGGAAGTGGTCGAGGAGAAATAGGAGACTTTTAAACAGAAAAATATTATCTGAATTTAATTTAGAGGTTTAATTTAATGATTGTATTGAGTTGAGTTTTTAAATTAGATTTTTTTTTTGCTAATTAAAAAAAATGGGGAAAAAGAGAACGTTTAAAGATTATTTTGATAGATCACACTTATTATTCTTCTCGGGAATGAATCTAACTAGGCTAGTATAGAAGTTAACAATCGAATCCTAATGTGGCATCCAAATCTTGAATATCTAATTTTATGTTTCGTTTGATATGATGGAAAAATTGAAGGATGAAAACTTATAGGGATAAATAAAACATCATGTTTGGTAAGGAAGAAAAATAGGAAGGATGAAAAAGTTTATGAATTAACTTTCCTTTCAACTCACCAAAATTAATTCCTCCAAAATTGGAAGGAAAGTAGATGGAAAGTTAATTATTTGTATTGAGATATATCTTATTTATTTATATATTATGTATACATTAATTTCACATATATATATACTAGTTATTGTTTGTGCCTGAAGGTATAGAGTAATAAAAAATGGTAAACAATAAACATATTTGTATTCTTATCCAAAATCAAATAACAAATATACAGAAGAGATAAAAGAATTTAAGTATCGGTTTGTAGTGGGGGTGAGAGGTGATGGACGATAATAGTGGTGGTAGGAAATGTTGATGGTTGTGGTGGTGGTAATGACCGTGGTAGCGGCCAGGACGGACGACAATGGTGGTGGTAGCAACTACGATGGCGACGGTGGCGTTGGTGGTGGTGACGGTGGCGATAAGAGTGGGGCAATGGTGGTAGTAGTGGTGGTGATGGTGGCGGTCGTGACGACGGTTGTAGTGGCGACGACGACGGTGGCGACGATGGTAGTGGTAGCGATAGTGGGGGGGGCGGTGGTGGTGGTGGTAATAGTAGGGGGCGATAGTGATGGTAGTAGCGGGGACGACGATGATGTCGACGACGATGATGGTAGTGGCGGGGACGACGATGGTGACGACGAAGATGATGGTGGTGGCGACAACGGAGGCGATGATGGTGGCAGTNGATGAGGATTATGGCTCTTGACGAATGCTTCAAATAAATGGCGCTCAATTCAAAATCATCAATATGAGCCTACTCAAAATCCGATCACTCCACATAGTATGTATGCTATTATGCATGGAGTTGATATAATTAATGATGATTTTTCTATTATAAGTGTAAATGGAATCAGAAGTGGAAGTGGAAGTGAATACCGTAATTATGGTTCGTCGTCTTCATACGGTTATGGTTTTGGATAAAACACTCTCTCGTATGATTATGAATCAAGGTATAACTCACGAGGATACGAATATAGATCCTCAACTTATGGTTATGGATCTAGCCATGACTCCCGAACATCCTCTTTATATAGACAAGAAGAAGGTTGGACAGGGACTGAGGCATTCATTTCCCAGCAGATTGTATGTAGTGTTGCAGACTATCAGAAATTCAAGACAGAGTATAATTCATATTATCGTAATTATATGAGTTTGAATAACTATTGTTGTCGTGTTTATACCACATATATAATTCCTCTAAGTGACTACCTAGAGCTTGCACTGATTTATAAGTCTGCTCGACACTCCGTAGCGAGATGGATTTAGCCATGTAGTTTTGTATTCATTAACATTTCATTTGTTTTATGAAACCTTAATATTATGTAAAAATGTGTTTACTTAATGAAAATTAAGTATTTGAAACTAATGAAAGTGATTTTCGCCTCCCGTCAAGCCTTTTTTTTTCCCTCAAACTTGATGTTATCTTGTATAAATGGATGTTAACCCAATAAACATGTTCAATTAATTAATTACTAAACTTATCTTTATAAATAAATGGATTATATTTCTATTTCCAAGTGTTTTCATATTTTTTATGCATTTCTATTGCGTTTCTGAAGCAGTACTCTGAAACGATATTTTGATGCTAAAGACGGGGCTAACTGTTTCTTCTTAGATTGGCCCAAATCATAGGGGCTATAAAAGGCATGCACACAGAACAAGTGAAATTTGAGGCACAAATAGTTTTCTACATAAACAACTAGATATTAAGTACTGAGCAATAATTTGAGGTTTCCCAAATAGAAACGTCCCGCTCACCAGAAAACTTTGAACTATGTTCAAATGGGCGGGCAGGGACACCTCAAAGATTTTTTGGCGGTGGAACCTCAATNAGGAAGACGGAAGTAGGGAAGCCATTGATACTGATGGTTTGTGGGACCCTCGTTTACTACCACTGCGCTTATGGAAACTCCAGCCTAGTCTCTTTGGTCTCCGACGTCTTCATCGTCATCCTCTGCTCTCTTGCCATCCTCGGCCTCCTCTTCCGCCAGATGAACATCTCGTATGTCTAACTCTCTCTCTCTCTCTCTGGTGTTTTGTATGTATAACATGACCTAATTTTGATCTTGATTCATTGTGTTCCAATAAAACGAAATTTGTGTTCTTTCACGATTCTTATAGTAACTATTTCATTCGGAGTTTTTATGGTTAGTTTATTAGGAGGCAGGTTCAAAACAATTAAGTGCACAAAACGAAGATTCACCACTTTGTAAAAAAGATTTGCAGCTTGACCTTTTGCAATATTTGTAATGTCATTGGGGCCTTTGGCTTTGGAATAAATCGATGATATTCTTTGTAATTTAGAAATTGGTATTTATCCCCAAGCTTCTTATGCTATTGTTGTTTTTCATGTTCAAAGTTAGCTTTCCCTCCCTTGAATCATCACTAATGTTTTCTTAATGTTTCATCTGAATTTTCAACTTCACAGTACGTACGTAGTCCCTTAGATAAATTTGTTTTATTTGTATTAGCTACATCTTTAGTGAATTTTATGCCAATGAAGTGAACTTTGCTTTTGATGCATTTATTACTTTTTCGACAGGGTGCCTGTGGATCCCCTAGAATGGCAGATATCTCAGGATACTGCCAACAGCATATTTGCGTGCCTGGCTAATACCATAGGTGCAGCCGAATCTGTTTTGAGAGTTGCGGCAACGGGTCAGGACAAGAGGTTGTTTCTCAAGGTATTTGTGTCGTTACTTGTGACCTTTTGATATAAAAAGTTAAGCACATTCTTGAGGAAATTGTGTCCCGGATGATTTTACCTCCTCTTAAATACTCCCTGTTTTATTGGAAGATCATTTTTTATATGTTTAATTGGTTTAGAAACTAGTAGAATTTATGCATTTAAGACTGGAAAAATGTCATACAAAGGAGGACAGTAATAAGAAAGGAGAGGGGGCAGAGACAATTGGAACAGAAAAACCATGGAACCTAAATCAATGCATTCATCGGGTATCTAAATCAACCCTTTCAAGTAATGAGTGAAAACCTGCTGAGTACAAAAATGTTCTTCAGGCTGCATTCAATTAGCTCCCCTTTTCGCCTAAACACTAGCCTTTCCAGTAGACAATTTCTAGATCCACCTAAATTTATCCCCCACCTGATGGGATGGATTTATGAGCTGTGATCTCAAACAGGAGATAACCATAATCCCAAAAATCCAAGCTTAAACAAATCCAGCTAATATGACCAATTTGTTCCCCACAAAAAAAGATGTCATACATAACCATCTCGATTGCCTTGAGCAAGGATTTTGCTTTAATGTTAAAACCATGGTTTGAAAACACGCTTTCGTGGAAACTACAATATATTGGTAAATAAGTTTGAAACAACCATACAAGGGGAATTAAAACTGAAAAGGATGACAGTTGGGAGCAAAATTCTGCCAAAACCTGTTCCAGTTAATCTCTGGAATTCATAAATAATATTACCACGATGTTATACCTGAATGCTATGCTAATTGGAATTCCAAGGCACATCAAAAGTTTGATTTTCCAGCAGGAGGGGAACAAAGGTAACACACTCAGCTCCACAAATCCACAAGAACAGTAGACAGAGACACAATCTGTCAAGATGTCTTACTGGAGCACATTTAAATTCCTAATTGAGCAAAATTCATATTCAATAGAAAATCTCCTCCTTTTGAACAATTGAACTGAAATTCTTCCTTCGAAGATTTGAGCATATCTTTCAATCCAACAAGCCCAGGCAGAAAAGAAATAAGTTCCCTCCCTAAAGAGAATTATGTTATCTTTGCTCTCTCTCTCTCNATTTAAAAAATATATTTTTCAATAATTTTTGAATATTAGTAAGCAAAATTAAAAAAATTTACCTTAAAAAAAATGTTATATCGTCTCATTAAGATATATATCTATAAAATAAGCATGACCAATTAAGGAATCAAAATTGCATTAAAAAACAATTGTGTCTTTACTATCATTTAAAATTTTGTTAATGTTTTGTATTGTATGTAAACTCGAATAGAAAAACTATAGATTAAAATTAAAATTGTACATCTTATTCTATGTTTAAAAGTATNGGAAAGGATGTCGGCGGGTGTTACCCAACTAATACCTGCGCCGTGCATGAGCAAAATGACTTTTGTTAGAGAGCACAGAAGACTGGTGCCCAAAACACAAATAAGCATAGTTGCTGTGTCTGTGTGACGTCTAGTGGCACGATCTACATCACTCACTGATGAAGAATTATAATCCAGGATCTACACTAACAACAGTATTGCACTTGTACATGCCTCCCCCTCCTCCCTCTTTCTTTCCTTCCTCTTTTCTTGGTNATCACTGATGAAGAATTATAATCCAGGATCTACACTAACAACAGTGTTGCACTTGTACATGCCTCCCCCTCCTCCCTCTTTCTTTCCTTCCTCTTTTCTTGGTCTGCCTGCCTTCCCGATCTCCTGGTGTCTCTTTGGAGCTTATTATGGAGAAAGAAAGGTCAGGAAAAGCACTAAGCTGGAAGCTGAACATATGGAACAGTTGCCATAAGTAGTTTCTATTGAACCAAAAAAAAAAATTGGTAATTGTAGAAGGTGTTGACAAAATAAGCCAACTAAAGAAGGAAAGAAAAAAGAAAAGTAAGATGGACAGTAAAGCTGTGGTGCATTTGAAGGTAAGATTTATCTATGTAACAAATTTTAAAATGATTTCCATGGCTGTAGAAAGGATTTTGAGTTCAATCAGAAAATTAATCTTTTCAGTTATCTTTCTTGGCAGGTGGTTGCCAGTCTCTACATGCTATCAGCTTTGGGAAGACTAGTCTCAGGCGTTACAGTTGCTTATGCTGGTGTGTGGCCATTCATGTCTTCTTTTGTGTATGTTCTGCTAGTAGTTTATTGTTTGGTGAATTGTTTTTTGTCTGACTCTGCAGTATCTATTCTATTCACTATCTGTTTTTTTTTGTGCTTTTTTTATTTCTTCATTATTATTTGGGTATTAGGTGTTTCTTTGGATACATATTTCATGTACTATTAGATATTGCAGCTGAGGTTTCAATGAGATTCAATTGACTCACTTCTTTTTCAGTAATTGATTCCAAGAATCNAACATATTTCATGTGTTTCAGTAATTGATTCCAAGAATCAAGTTCTGTTTTGAATCGAAAAAATTCCAAACTNTACATATTTCATGTACTATTAGATATTGCAGCTGAGGTTTCAATGAGATTCAATTGACTCACTTCTTTTTCAGTAATTGATTCCAAGAATCAAGTTCTGTTTTGAATCGAAAAAATTCCAAACTTCCTCTGGGAAAGTCAGTATTACACTTTCATGTCTTTTGGTGTCAGTTGGTGAGCACTTCATAGTTTGTGTACGCCATTCCCACAAATATTTTGGTCAAAACCCTCCCAATGATTTTCACATTATAAAATCACTAGAGCATATTGGTGAAAATAGTAAGTCGTGATGGAGTATAATCTTGTTAGAAAACATTCATCACAACAGATTAGAATTTTTTTTTCCAGAAGGTAACAACAGATTGTAAATTGTTTTTCTGGTATGTGGTTTTTTTTTTGGTTGGGCAGAGAGGGTGTGGGTGGGGTTAAGCAGTTCTTGTTCTATTCAGTTGGTCTTCCTAAAATAATGCCGTACTGTATTTTTTTTTTCTGTTGACAGGGTATTTTTAATTCATCATTTTCCCCGGTGGAGGGGCAAAAGTTGTAAATGTGCTATTCTTATCTTACAGGTTTCTTTTTTTTTTTTTTTTAATTTAAACAGGATTATGCTTGTTTTGTCTCTACATGCTTGCTGAGAACTGCCGGTTGATCAGTGCTTGTTTGTTGCCTTTGCTTGGGAGAAGAGATTACACAAATCAAGTGCAGGAAAACACATAGTTTATGTGATTTGGCGACTGGCATGCATTACTGGTTATATTGTATTTTTCTCCGCTCTGCTCCATAGGTGGTTGCAGTGGCTACTGTTTCTTTGTACGATAATCCTCTTCAATCTCTAGTTATTGCTTTTGTATTGCACTTCTTTCACTTTGTGACTTCCCTACCTGGTAACACAATGCTTTTATTTGTTTCGACAACATGGTCATAGGGCTCAAATTCAGTTCATTTTTGAATACAAGAAGATATTTGTTTGACAGATTTAGAATGTGGGTGGGATCATTGAAGCACTTGCAATTCAACTTCTATCCTGGAGCATAATTCAGGCATTTTATACCAATTGTGCGGAAGAAAAACCTCTTTAACCAGCAACTTATGAATGGTTTTTTGCTTGAAAGCATGGATATGTAATATGGGTACGATATAATAAGGACATGATAAATTTTTAAAAAAAGATACAGATACGGTTAGGATATATCTATAATAAAATATATTTTATATTTTATTATTATTTAACTATTTAAAAAATATATTTTTCAATAATTTTTGAATATTAGTAAGCAAAATTAAAAAAATTTACCTTAAAAAAAATGTTATATCGTCTCATTAAGATATATATCTATAAAATAAGCATGACCAATTAAGGAATCAAAATTGCATTAAAAAACAATTGTGTCTTTACTATCATTTAAAATTTTGTTAATGTTTTGTATTGTATGTAAACTCGAATAGAAAAACTATAGATTAAAATTAAAATTGTACATCTTATTCTATGTTTAAAAGTATTTGCAAAATATTCACATATTTTATTGATTATCGGATACTTATCCGGCAAATATCATATTCGATATAGATACGTCAACCTTGACGAAATATTTATGCTTCATAGACTTTTTTGGATGGGCAAACAGAGGGCAATACTGCAATGGAGGATAACAACAGCCAAATAAATTTCTCCTCGAAGAGAACTTACAGATAATTGGTTAAAAAGTTATGGATTTGCCACCATGATCCCAGAAACAATTGGCAACATCAACCCTAATGACAGGCTATTACGTGTTTGGGCTTTACTCCATTGTTTCAATTGCAAAAGCCACAAATGTCATGGTGAACTAAGAACAAGCTTCTCGTCAGACAATGGAGCTTGTTTTCCCTCTGCTCACACCTATTACAATGCCCATGTGCGTGCCTTCGTCAGACTGGATTTCTCTCAACCCAAAATGTGTGCATGCTCGCGCGTGTGTGTGTGTGTGAGAGAGAGAGAGAGAGAGAGAGAGTTTTGCAGTTCCATAACCGAATAGAAACTTACTAGACCCACCAGCATTCAGTCATACATGTAGGGAAACAACTTTTTTCCTTGATCAGAAAATTCTGTTGGCACAATTAAAAATGGGCACTAACACTGATACTAAACCAAACCAAACTTTATATCCCAATCATTTGAGGTTGTCTACATGAGTCTGTCTTCGCCAACACTGATGCTAAATACAAATTAGAACAGAAAGCCAACAACAGCTATCTCTCTCCCGGACTGAGCACAAGCCGAGTGCTGATATTTACCTCCCACCAACAGCAAGGGAGTCGCATCGGATTCTGCAAGACAACTATAAATGATGTCTATCCACCAGCAGAATGTCTTTCCAAGCTTCATAAAACATCCAGGTGATGCCAGAAGATGGCATCACTTTTAAACAACTGGCACCCCACCCTCTGTAAAGTCCCATTAAACCTTGCTCCCTAATGACTTCCGAAAGTGCGGCTGCCATGTGAGGTGGGCATTTGCCTTGCAGAGCTCCTACCATCAGCCGTTTTCTGGCCACCTCCAATGGATAACTAATTGTGCTTGCCGTCAAACCTGAACAAGCAAAAAATAGATGAACACTTACCCCAGAGGAACGATGACTCAAGCACTGGCAAGAAAGATCCATCTAACCATTTTGCTCAAACAGGTTAGAGCTAAAAACTGGCAGGAAAATTCTATGTTTCCTGTGGGAGTTGGAAAGTAAAAATATGGGGTAGTGAAGGTGGAAAACAGCCAATTATTCTCGTGGACACCCAGATATTTTGCCTCAAGTGCAAAGGCAAGATGTAAACGAAAAGGCAGTTTGCTAACTAAGCAGCTTCATGCTTCTCAAATTCCAAACAGAGCCCCAGATTTACTCTGGGGGAAAGAGAAAGCATAATAAAATAAAAACATGGATATTAATGAAGTGTAGATTCATGCAAATTAATATAAACCACATGAAACTTTCAATTAGGGAAGGCTTCAAAGTGAATTCTCGGCTTTTGACACCCCTACAACTAAGATTTTTATTTTACATTTCTTACCCAATCACCGACAATTATTCAGATGCCACATCGTATAGGATTTTGAGACTCGACGCTTAAATACCCAAAAGGGACTGCACATAATACTTGTTAATAGGAAATCAAAAGTTTCTATAGTATGACTGAAGGAATCCTAGAGAAATGCTAAATTTAATAGTACAGCCTAAACAGTCAATGCCATGATTCGACCTGAAAGAGCTCCAACCAGGAGCATCTCTGCACGGTTCAAAAATTCCTTCTTCTTCCCCTGGCAGTAAGATTTCTTTAATGTCTCGTACATGAAATAGTAGCATGTGCTGTATGGTAGCATGCCGATCAATGTAGGTGTAAGTCCAGCATAGAGACCACCGATTCCACCCTCCTTGTAAATCTTACTAATTGCAATGGTTAGTGTAGGGTAAGCCTCGGGACTCACAGTCAACCGATCCTGTAGTGATCAGAAAGAAAATAATTTATTTTCTCACAGTAACAAATGAAATTTTTTTGGTTTACATGATAAATAAGTCACTAGGAAGTATATTATTATATCCCTGAATTTCACCCCAACATGAGTTTTTTTATATATGACAAGTAAGAGAAGCAGGCATATGATCATGTGCAAATACCTTTAAGACTTCAAGAGGATGACAAGCAAGTGTGCTAACAATTCCAGCAGCCGCACCAGCCACAGCAACTGGAGAGAGCCAGGAGAGAGAAAACTTCAGACTGACATGACCAATCTGCACCTCGGGGCATTTGGTTTGATTCCATTTCTCTTGTGCTGAAGTCATTGTTCGCTTGACACACTCAAATGTTCCAAACTCAATTGCCTGGGTAGGAATAATACGGAGCATGTTGATTGTATTGCCAGCCCACAACCCTTGCCAACCCTGCTGTTCAACGACCTCAAAGAAACTACCACAAATGTTTTTGGACCCAACACCAACCACCATTCGTGTCCTGCATATTTTGACTTTCTTTGAACAATGCATAATGCTTCAATGCAAACATAATATGCCGAACACATATTAAAGTAATGATGCAGCTCTGTTGATGGGATCATGACATTTTTAGGCAGCAAAGAAGAACACAAATTTCTAAGAAGGTGACGCCTCTAGGCCAAACACTGATACTACTTGAACAATGTTGAATACGTGTCCAATACTTGTTTGGCCATGTCCACAATTACAAAAAAAAAAAATTGATTTTGGATATGCCTGCAATACTCTTCTGGCAATGTATCCAACACTTCTTTGACTATGTCTATTACTGAAAATAGAAGTGTTTGGACACTTGCTAACATATATTGTACAAAGTTTAGGATAATTATAAAGGCACACCCTATGGTTTGGACAGATTTCAAGTGATACCCTTATAGCTTCAAAAATTATGCTGGCTATACATCTACGGTATCTATCAATAGTGAATCTGGTGCAAATCAAATTATTTTTTCTTTGTTTTGTGAGTTTCTTATTTTGTTTTGTGTTTTTTTATTTTTTTTTTGGGGGGGGAGGAAATTTGAAGACAACCAAGAAGGCCGAAAACCAACCTGATGGTTTCAAGAGGAGCAAGAATGGCTTTGGTCATAGCCCCCGACAAAGCACCACTACAAAACTCCCCAACTTCTTTGGTCCTCAAAAAATCCTGCACAATTTCAAGCATTTCATTCTAATAAGTAAGAAAACATAAAATTGCAAAGATGATTTTCACTTTTGATTAGTTTCCCCCATCCCCAACCCTAATGAGTCTGAGTATGAGGGAAAAAAAATACAATCATTCAGATTTTTTGCAAATAAATCGAGATAATTTCCTATCAGCCTGACAAACAGTTCAAGAATGATAGATTCAACTCAAATTCCACAATGGATTCACATCTCAGAACAAAATGCTCCCAAACTAAAGCTAATCATTGGGATTGGGCATATAGAACAATTGTGTTCCCAGTAACTAAATGTTATCATCTTTCAAAATGGAATATTTAATAAGGAACAAACAGGACTCACTTTCATGGCTTCTCCGAGATCATCAAGCACGCGGAACCGAAGCCGGAAACTATTGTCCTTAACGAGCTCAAAATGAAGTTCCTTTGGAGCAATCACCAGTCCATACATATCTCCCACACTACAGAAGCTCTTTCTCTGAGATTCCGATTCCATATCCAATACTACTTCTTCTCAAACTGAAGATCCAAAGAACAGATGGGTTTCAAACAAAATTTCACAAAAGTTTATGCAATTTGATTATACCAATCGATGCCTTATTTGCCCAAATGGGTTGTATGCATGTATGTACTCGTATAAACGTGCATTAAAAGATAGAAATTTTTGGAGAGAGAAACAGACAGAATTGACGCGCTTGAAGACCGAGAGAGAGAGAGAGAGAGAGAGAGAGAGAGNGATAGAAATTTTTGGAGAGAGAAACAGTCAGCATTGACGCGCTTGAAGACTGAGGAGAGAGAGAGAGAGAGAGAGAGAGAGAGAGATGATATTTCTCCGGATTCGGATCCCCCATTACCCTCTGGTCCCCCTCTTCAATTTTTCGTACGATGAGTAACATGCATACGATTCTAAATTTCATTCTTTTAAAAAAAAATTTACATATTAAAATTTAAAATTTTACTCATATCGCTCTTCTAACACCGCATCAAAGAAAATTAAGGAGAAGGGGTAATTGAGTGGATCTAAACCCTATTTCTCCCCTCCCTGTCATTGTGTAAATGATGAAGGGTTTCGTTTGTTTGAACTCGGAATCAATTTACCCTTTTTTTGGGTGAGAAAAATTNTTTACATATTAAAATTTAAAATTTTACTCATCTAACACCGCATCAAAGAAAATTAAGGAGAAGGGGTAATTGAGTGGATCTAAATCCTATTTCTCCCCTCCCTGTCATTGTGTAAATGATGAGGGGTTTCGTTTGTTTGAACTCGGAATCAATTTACCCTTTTTTTGGGTGAGAAAAATTGAGCAACCCAACTACTCAAATCGCCATGTGAAGCATCTTTTTTTCTCTGCAACCCTTTTTCAGATATTACAAAATGCAATGAGGGGGACCATAGCTCATACGTTCATCTTCATCCACGGCATGGGAGGAGGACCTGCAATGCCAACAAAACCGTTACCATCACGGTAAAGTTTGACGATGCCACTTGCCGTCCGTCGATCTTCTTGGCGCACAAGCACAGTGTTTCTTGTTTGTCGACGACGGTACCCTAAAAATGGTATGAAAACCACATTTCACATGAATTCCACTACTTCAATTTTGATTTCGTTTCAGCCCAATTCTATATTTTTTAATTTCGTTTCTAGGGTGATTTCTTCTTTTTCTTTTATTATTATTATTATTTATATGTTTGGTTCTATGGTCAGGGTGTAGGAACTAATTTACACTATTTACCATAGAATTATAATATTTTTGAGTTGAGAATGTTTAAGTTTACACTTTGTTGCTATTACTATTTATGTGGTTTCTCAAACAAATAACATTTAATTTGTTAAAAAAAATTTATCATAAACTTATCACGTAATTCTTAAATATGAACAATAAATAATTTGGGTAGCTCTTGACCAAAATTTAGATCATTATTGACCAAAATGTGTAATATGAAAAGTTTTTAACTAAAATTTGGATATCTCATGATCAAAACTGTATAATTTTGGTAGCTATTTGACCAAAATTTGCATAACAATTTAATCAAGAGTTATCCAAATTATTTTTTTTTATCTATATTTAGATATCACGTGACAAGTTTATAATAAAAAACCGTGGACGCTGTTTTGTTGAAGGACTATATAAAAATATATTTAATATTTTAAGGATTAAAATGATATAATAAAATATTAAAGACTAAAATAAGACAAATTTTATATTTTTGGGACCTCTAATACAACTAACTCTTAAATTTTTTATATATTATTTTAATATGTTATAATTTATCCTCTTAACTATTACACAAATTTGTCCTCTAGCATTCAATCATTGTGTTTTTTGTAGCATTACTCTCCTTATTTTGGTCATCCAAACAACACCTACAATAGATTTGATGGAGATAAGGTGGAGCCCTAGCTCACGTGACTATGAACCACGGTGTCGGGCTTTACATCCCTCCTCACTCACAATTGACTCAAAAGAAAAAGACATTTCTCTTCCATGTAGAAAAATCATGATTGAGATAAGAATAAAAGACCAAAAACTATGGAAATTGCACGTGGGTCTTTTGTCGAGATAAATGGCCTTTGATAGTTTGAACACTTTATGCTCCGATCAGTAAGAATGATAAAAAGTAAAAAGTATGAATGATATAATTTTTATTTTTAAAAAAGAGAAAGTAGGAATAATATGTTTTTTTTTTTTTGTGATTGATATGATGAATGAAAAATAAAAATAATAATTTTAAAAAAATATATAAATACATATTTTATCATTGTATTTATACATAATTTATATAATAAAGTAACTTGCAATTTAAATCTTAAAAGATAAACAAAATAATTTTTATTATTCGCTGTTCAGATCCCTTTAAATTTTACTTTAAAGTTAATCTAACGACTAATATTAATATCCTAAATTTAATAGAGAAGATAGGCCCCTAAAGATATGTTTTGAATGACTTTTTAAAAGTATTTTTAAACATTATTTCTTATAATTACTTAAAAAAAAAAATAGTATTTGAAACCGTCTCACCACTACCTCTACCACCAATACCCCCATCAACACCACCGCCACTATTGCCCACTACCTCTCACCCTCACTACAAATCGATGCTTATATTCATTTATCTTTTCTCTATGTTTGTGATTTGATTTTGGATATAAATACAAATATATTTATTATTTATCATTTTTTATTACTCCGTGCCTTCAGGAACAAATAATAACTAATATATGTATATATCAAAAGATACATAGACAAATAATGTCACGCCCCATCTCGGTCTCCCATGGAAGAAATACAACTACGTTTTTAATACACCTGTTTACAATTATTATAACCTGGACTAATCAATCATAAAATAATCCCACAGATACAACAACACTACTCATTACCTTAATTATTAAGCATAATGGTTAAACCTGTACCATATAAGAAACACTTGTACCAATCATTTGTTTCTCAGGTTGTAGACATATACAAAATCTTATATCCACATAGTATACATCACAAATTATGTTTGTTGAATTTATTTACAAATATATACTATTAATCTGTCATAATAATCTTTCACAAATATAATACACAATCCAGAAATTAGTCATACTGACACTCAACCTGAGTGATATCATAGTAACATTGTACAAGATTCAATTAATTGGACAGTATACCGGTCTGTATCCTCCTTTATAGTAGCTGAAAAGAAAAATTATATGAGTGTGAGCTAAATCACGCGCTCAGCGAGTATAGATGTTGTATATGAAATAAAAATGATAGTAATACACTGAAGTAGATAGATATTATGTAGATACATGTATTAAACAACAACATCAATCCAATTTCAAAGAATTCACAAGCNAAAAGTTTTTAACTAAAATTTGGATATCTCATGATCAAAACTGTATAATTTTGGTAGCTATTTGACCAAAATTTGCATAACAATTTAATCAAGAGTTATCCAAATTATTTTTTTTTATCTATATTTAGATATCACGTGACAAGTTTATAATAAAAAACCGTGGACGCTGTTTTGTTGAAGGACTATATAAAAATATATTTAATATTTTAAGGATTAAAATGATATAATAAAATATTAAAGACTAAAATAAGACAAATTTTATATTTTTGGGACCTCTAATACAACTAACTCTTAAATTTTTTATATATTATTTTAATATGTTATAATTTATCCTCTTAACTATTACACAAATTTGTCCTCTAGCATTCAATCATTGTGTTTTTTGTAGCATTACTCTCCTTATTTTGGTCATCCAAACAACACCTACAATAGATTTGATGGAGATAAGGTGGAGCCCTAGCTCACGTGACTATGAACCACGGTGTCGGGCTTTACATCCCTCCTCACTCACAATTGACTCAAAAGAAAAAGACATTTCTCTTCCATGTAGAAAAATCATGATTGAGATAAGAATAAAAGACCAAAAACTATGGAAATTGCACGTGGGTCTTTTGTCGAGATAAATGGCCTTTGATAGTTTGAACACTTTATGCTCCGATCAGTAAGAATGATAAAAAGTAAAAAGTATGAATGATATAATTTTTATTTTTAAAAAAGAGAAAGTAGGAATAATATGTTTTTTTTTTTTTGTGATTGATATGATGAATGAAAAATAAAAATAATAATTTTAAAAAAATATATAAATACATATTTTATCATTGTATTTATACATAATTTATATAATAAAGTAACTTGCAATTTAAATCTTAAAAGATAAACAAAATAATTTTTATTATTCGCTGTTCAGATCCCTTTAAATTTTACTTTAAAGTTAATCTAACGACTAATATTAATATCCTAAATTTAATAGAGAAGATAGGCCCCTAAAGATATGTTTTGAATGACTTTTTAAAAGTATTTTTAAACATTATTTCTTATAATTACTTAAAAAAAAAAATAGTATTTGAAACCGTCTCACCACTACCTCTACCACCAATACCCCCATCAACACCACCGCCACTATTGCCCACTACCTCTCACCCTCACTACAAATCGATGCTTATATTCATTTATCTTTTCTCTATGTTTGTGATTTGATTTTGGATATAAATACAAATATATTTATTATTTATCATTTTTTATTACTCCGTGCCTTCAGGAACAAATAATAACTAATATATGTATATATCAAAAGATACATAGACAAATAATGTCACGCCCCATCTCGGTCTCCCATGGAAGAAATACAACTACGTTTTTAATACACCTGTTTACAATTATTATAACCTGGACTAATCAATCATAAAATAATCCCACAGATACAACAACACTACTCATTACCTTAATTATTAAGCATAATGGTTAAACCTGTACCATATAAGAAACACTTGTACCAATCATTTGTTTCTCAGGTTGTAGACATATACAAAATCTTATATCCACATAGTATACATCACAAATTATGTTTGTTGAATTTATTTACAAATATATACTATTAATCTGTCATAATAATCTTTCACAAATATAATACACAATCCAGAAATTAGTCATACTGACACTCAACCTGAGTGATATCATAGTAACATTGTACAAGATTCAATTAATTGGACAGTATACCGGTCTGTATCCTCCTTTATAGTAGCTGAAAAGAAAAATTATATGAGTGTGAGCTAAATCACGCGCTCAGCGAGTATAGATGTTGTATATGAAATAAAAATGATAGTAATACACTGAAGTAGATAGATATT